CAAGTGTCGCCAGCATATTTATATACTCAGAATTGGCTCCCCTTAGGCTGGACGGCATCACGTCTATGTTGATATCACCAGTAAGTATAACAACTTCAGTTTTAGTTTCATTCAGTATATTAAATAAAGAATCAATATAATTGGACGGGTTCTGGAAGCTGGGTGGGCGATATGAACATACGATGGTGGTTTCGTTAGCCAAGTTCAGGACTAAGAAGTTACCCTCAGATGCCAACGGTTCAAAGGATGTTGCATTAATATCAGTTTTAACGTACGCTAAGACGCCATCATTTTGGTTTATTACTTTTTTAGTGCTAAATGCCGTATAGTTATCAATACTAGGCACCATAGCATGCTCATCGAGCCAACATTCAGTAAGTACTATAACATCGATGTCCACTTCAAGCCGCGTTACAAAAACTAAAAAGTTATCGAGATTACGGTTAACGCTTCTAATATTAACAGTCAACACCGTTATTAGAGATTTATAGGTTATATTAAAAAGAACGTTATTTTTTTTAATTCATCACACATTAAGAATGAAATGTATGGCTACAAAAGAAGAGGAAGACCGAAGAAAGTATGCATGGATTGTGTGAAAGAGGATATGCTTAAGAAAGGAGTGGATTCAGATATGGCTGATAGAGATGTATGGAAGAGCACATACTGTCCCGACGCTCCATAAGGGATACTTTTCTAAAACATTCAAAGTACTGACCTATTTTTTATTTAATTCTGGGTTACGGTTGTTTACGTAGGAAGTATATTGACTGAATTGATTATTAAAAGATAACTTAAAACTTCTTGTTACAGATACAAAACACGAATGCGACTTCAAAGTGTTCTAAAGGTTTAAAGAAGAGAAGGCAGTATGGGGTACAAGCAGTACTTAGCGGTGGGCCAGTCGGCGAGGAACCGGCTGTTTGGCCTCGCGCCACGCATCTCCGGGGACAAACGCACTCTGCCGCTGAACATGATGATATCGCAACAAGGCAAAATAAACCATGGTAGGTGAACAATGACATTACGATGGCTCCTACGTAAAACGTTGAAAGTTTAAAGCGCAGTTTTTGCAAAAATTGCAAAACATTTTTTTTATAACATGATGTTATGAATAAAATAGAGAATCAAAATCTGCAGTTCTTTTTTCTACAGTTACTTTCTTCATACAAAATAAAATGTAATTGAGTTAATTAACAAAGACATAAAACTAAGCGTAAATCATGAATTGTGTCTTACGATAGTTTACGTAGGAGCCATCGATTTAGAGGTTTTAACATAATTTGTTTTCTATATATGTGGTTATACTCTAATACTTATTTGAATAAAAAGTATATCAAGCATTTCAAATAACCTTTACTTAAACAAAACTAAGCTTTGACAATGTTAAATGTATTGATTTTACAAACAAGGTTAACATGTTTACTTACTTTACTTAACAACATTTATAAGTACAAAATAAACGAAACTACACTAAGTGAAATAGCAAATCTTAGAACAGGTATAAAATATTGAAAAAAAGCTAGCGACAATCATTACAAGTATAAAAAATTAATCGTACATCTTATAAATGCGAAAGTTTAGATGGATGGATGTTTGTTAGAGTTTGTAGTCTAAACGGCTGAACGGATCTGGATGAAATTTAGCATAGATGTAGAGGAAAGTCTGAAACACAAGATAATTACTTTTCTTTTTTTAATACCACGCGGAAAGATAGTATTTCATATTGATTACTTACTAGTTAATGTTTTTTTAAATTCAGCACAGACGAAGTCACGGGCCAAATCTAGCAGTTAACATATTGTTGTTCCATCTATAGGAAAACAGCAGAAATTAGGCCTAATTTTATAAATTAAAGTTTGGTTTCAATGCTTTAAAAGTAGATACACAAAATTGTTGAACACACAACCGTAATAGTGCGTATTACATTGCTATTGTGCGGTGTGGCAACAATTCACGGATGAATTGGCATCCAATTTGTGTTACCAGTTATTTATTGCTATTGACCTAAACTAAAACATAAGGGAGCAACAGACAAAGAAACTCATTTACATATAAATTTTACAAAATAAAGAGATCGTTTTACTAAACTCTAAGTCTTTGAATCCCCCTTCACCCCCACCACTTCAGTTCCGTCTTGAGGCCGCAAGATTTATCAGATATCGTATTTCGTTCGACACAAGTTTCTCCAATTCAAATATTTCCTTGGACACTATTTCTCAATACTCTAAACCAGTCTTTTATTAAGTGGTCGATAATGCCTCCGAGTGGGTGCTGATAGCCTAGAAGGGGTAAGGGGCCTACAAAAAATGGGGGGGCGCTGTTAATTATTACTATTTTTTTTAATAATATATACGCTTTAAGAGATTGTCGATTGTTTCGCAGCCCATTTAACTGTTTATTTGCATAAATAAATATATAATAGTGTGCCCACCCATAGTCTGGAAGAACATAGATTACTTACTAAATTTTTATAATATTACACAGACGAAGTCACGGGCGATTCAAAAACAATAAAATTGTGATACAGACTGTTACGAGAATAAAATTTCAGGGTTATATGACATAAAATCAAAACATTGTATAATAAAATTATATAAAATATAAAAAGCGTATTGAATAATTTGAATATTCAATTAGCAACACAATATAGCAACGAGATTTTATAAATCAGGTTAATGCATCGTCGTCAAATAATTCTTGCAAGGTGAAATGTTCGTTTACACAACACGACACGGCACGACACGGCACGGCACGTCATAACCAGCTGACTGTACAACTTGCGTGATCACCACTCTGGCCCAAGTCATAAGCGACAAATTACAAATTAAGTCAATAGAGCTTCTTTTTATTGTTTAAATCATATTAGGTTATATTTCTTTTAGTAATCCTTTAAAATAATATTAAAGAGATTACAAGTGCCTCCGCCTGGATCCCCCAGGTGCAATATTATCTATAAACTTACTTCTTGCTAATAGTAAAAATGCGAGAATTTAGATACATGGATGTTTGTTTAAGATTATAGTCAAAACAGCTGAACGGATCTCCATGGAAGTTAGCATTACTGTGGTGGAGTCTTACATTTGTCTCCATAACTATAATAAATTTGCAGTTTTTAATCTATTCGTAACAGAAATATAATCCTTACTCTTTGTGTCGATAATTATAAATTTGTTTAACCGCTCTCTCTTATAACTTATACCGCGTTATAATAATTACGAAAATGGCATATCGCGCGATCATTAGGCAACGCACAAAAATTGCAAACCACGCAGCAAACAACGAAGTCGTTTGCTGAACCTACTGGGTCAGTGTGTCGACCTGTTGTCTACTCTGTACATGATATTTGTAAAAATACCGAGAAAAAGAGCTTTCTTCGACCTCGGTACGCATATTCACTACATCGTATAAAAGAAATCGCTTCCCGCTGTCTATCTATCCCTATGTATACTTGAATCTTTAAAACTACGCAACAGATTATAAAGAGGAAAACTTTGTTGGATTGTAATAAATAGGCTCAAAAACTACTGGGCCGATTTTAAATTTTTTTCATCGTGAGAAAGGTAATTTATCTGTGAGTAACATAGGTTATTTTACAATGGTTTTTTTTATTCCACGCGGACGGAGTCTCGAGCGGAAACTTCTGTATGATATAGTAGAGAAATACTTATAATTTTAGATGTTTCTAATGTGATGAAAACACATTTTCGTATAGGCATAAGGCCGAACGAAGTCATACCGATATCTAGTAACATTATAAATGCGAAACTTTGTGTGGATTTTTATTGCCTCGTAACTTCATAACTTGACTGTCTTAAATATTACCTACTAAAGTACCACGCAGACGAATTCGCAGGAAAGAACTAATTCTATCTATGTATACAATTTTAAAATATTTCGGATCAATGTTGTCAAAACATATTAAAGCACTTAAAAGAGAATCTTAAACAATCGTAGATTAAAGTTTTCAAAACTAGAACATTTTTAAACTAAACATTCTGCACAAGTTATAGCAATTTTGTCAAGAAGACCACAAAGAAGACAGGCGTGAAATGGAAGCAATTCCGGGTTTCGTCTGATGAGTAACCCATGAGTATGGTGCGGGAAGCCTAATTTAAGTCCCTTTCTCTTTACCGCCCTTTTCTTATAAGGAGAGGATGGGAAGGGGAAGTGGATTTGACGGAGGAGATACATAGGAAGGGGAAATATCCTCTTTATGTGCATCTTCTCCTCTGTCGGATAAGGGTAGGCAACGCATCTGCAATTGCGGATGTCTATGGGCAGCGGTCGCTTCGCCATTTTGGCGGATTCACGTGGCCGCTTGCTCGTTTGCCACCTTTTGTTATAAAAAAAAAGTTTTTGATTACAAGTTTATACTTTAGCACGCGTTAGATTAAATTTAAAATAAATGGCAGTGTGAAACAACCGACAATCGCACAGTTGTAATGCGCTTGTCGATTGTTTAGCAGACAATTCAATTGTTTTGTGCAACTAAAAATCGAGTAGTGTGCGCACCTCCGTATAAGCTCATAGGAAAAGCGAGAATGAACAGTTGTGCGATAGTTTTATTCAAAGCTGTAGAAGCGCTTTAAGCATTCTGAAGGAAAAAAATGACCCGATATTTCGTCGCGCGATTTTGAGCTAAACTATTTAACTACGTCGTAGTCTTTGACTCCAAAAATCAAACAAAAAAATGGGACCCACCTGCAAGCATTACCTTTCGGATAAAAGAAGAATTATCAAAATCAGTCCACTAGCGGCGGAGTTATGCCGTAACATACATTAAAAAAAAACATACAGACGAATTGAGTACCTCCTTCTTTTGGGAAGACGGTCATAAAAGAATTATCATTAATACAAACTGAATTACTTGAATAATGACATGACAACTGAATACTTCTATAATCCAATTTCCCAAGTAAATTCTATTGAAGACAATAAAAAAGAAATCCTCTTATCTTTTGTTTACATTTTAATGAGACAATAAAAACAAATGAAAGCACACAAGTTAGTATTCTTCGTTTAAATACAAAAAAATGGACCGAACCGATTTGTTTCCATACCGCTTCAATGTAACAGAGGATATTTTTTTTTTATCGTCATTACTACAAAAGCTTACTTAATTGCTAAGTTTAATTAGAAACTACATGAAAACTTGTTTGTCATTGTAACTGGCTTTAAAAGCTATTTTACAACTATAAAAAGAACTATAAAATTCATGTATAAATGTAATTGAAGGTTTTTATTGATTTTATTCATTACATTGTTGTTAACTATTACATTTGTTAGAACAATACAAATATAATTAATGTAAATACGTAATAAAACCAAAGGAATGTGGTACAAAAAACACGTGTACGCAATTCAAACAAACAAAAGATTGACATAACGGTCTTTGAAAGCTCCTGTGGTCCTGGTATACCTCTAACGTGGTCTTAACGCACCTTTCGCGGTCCTGAATTTCATCATGAAGTTCATGATGAACTTGCCCTTATCTCTTACGGAGGGTCGGCACAGTATGTGCTGCTCTTCCATACATCTCTATCAGCCGTCATATCTGAATCCACTCCCTTCTTAAGCATATCCACATAGCAGGTGGTAGTGCCCGCTTTAACATCTTAGCACGAATGGGCCGTCACGCCCTGTGTAATACCACGACCACACAGAAGACAGGCGTGAAATGGAAGCAATTCCGTGTTTCGTCTGAGGAGTGTGGTGCCGGAGGCCTAATTTAAGTCCCTTTCTCTTTACCACCCTTTTCTTATAAGGAGAGGTTTGGAAGGGGAAGTGGATTTGACGGTGGAGGAGATGCATAGAAAGGGGAAATATGCTCTTTATGTGCGTCTCCTCCTCCGTCGTATAAGGGTAGGCAACGCATCTGCAATTGCGGATGTCTATGGGCAGCAGTCGCTTCGCCATTTTGGCGGCGCGCCGCTTGCTCGTTTGCCACCTTATGCTATAAAAAAAATCCCCTTTCACACAATCCATCCATACTATCTTCGGTCTT